AAAAAATATATTTAAAATAAATTAATTAATTAAAATTTTATTAAAAGAAAAAAAGAATTAGCCCCCGCCAGTGTGGTTCAGTTGACCTACAAACCAGGAGGTCACGGTTCAATTCCCAGTCGGGCATATGCCTGAGTTGTAGCTCAATCCCCAGTGGCGGGCATGCAGGAGGCAGCCAATCCATGATTCTCATCATTGATGTTTCTCTCTCTCTCTCACCTTTTCCCTTCCTCTATGAAATCAATAAAAAATATTTTTTAAAAAGAATTATATATCGCCGAAACCGGTTTGGCTCAGTGGATAGAGCGTCGGCCTGCGGACTGAAAGGTCCCAGGTTCGATTCCGGTCAAGGGCATGTACCTGGGTTGCGGGCACATCCCCAGTGGGAGATGTGCAGGAGGCAGCTGATCGATGTTTCTCTCTCATCAATGTTTCTCACTTTCTATCCCTCTCCCTTCCTCTCTGTGAAAAATCAATAAAATATATATAAAAAAAAGAATTATATATCTCTAGTACATCTAACACAACACATATGTACTGGTTACCAGCTGGGCCCTGTTACAAGTGCTTTGAACTTCTTGTTTAATCTTACAGCCACTCCATGAACTAGAAACTATCCATATTCCCATTTGACAGATGAGGAAACTGAGGCATGGGGAGATTAAGTAACTTGCCCAAGATTATATAGCTGATGGGTGCGGATAGGGCGATGCCTAGATATGAAGCCAGACACTTTGCTCTTTACGGCTCAACACCCCTCAAGCGCCTGAGGATGGAATGAGAGAGTCGAGTTCCTGGCCACCCCGGGAGCTGCCTGGGGAACAGGGGTAATCGGATCAGATCCAAGCCTCCAGCTTCAGTCCTTCCCCATTAGATACCAAGGGCCCTTGTGTGGATGTCAGCAGTAGGAGACAACATAGACAGATGGGGAGATGGGAGGAGGAGAGGGACAATGTGAGCCAGCAAGTCACTGACCAAAGCGACTGATGGTGACAGGGTGACTAAAACAGAGGTGGAAAGAGACGGGAATTGGGTGACAGAAAAGTCACAGAGTGTGTGTGTGCATGTGTGAGTGAATACACATGGGCCCATGTACACACACACGTGCTCACACGTGCTCCTCAGGGGTGCAAGCATCGCTTGATCCAGAGGCAGCAGCCTGTCTCCCCTGTCTCCCCCCTTCTGCCCATCTGCGCCCTGACCTGGGCCTCTCCTTCTACCAGCATCTGGGCTAGCCCCCCCACCCCACCTCTCTCCTCTGCCTTCCCTGCTTCCCACTTACTCCCTTCCGCATCCTCCCTCCGCCCCACTGAGTCACTCATTCATCGGACCAGGATGCACGATGGGCGCCAAGCTCTCTCCCAGGTGCTCTGGAAACAGTGGCGAACGAGACAGGAAGAAGGTCCTGCCTCCAGGAGACAGACAATGAAAACCGATCAAGACAGTGTCAGGCTGTGCTAAGGAGCAGGGGAGAGAGAAGCCAGGGGAGTGATAGAGAGGCAGGAGCCAGGGGCGGCTTTACACCGGACGGCCAGGGAGGGCCTTCCCGGGCTGACCCTTGAGCTAAGTCCTGAGGAGTCCACTGTGCCACAGCCTGGGGGACAGAGTTCACGGCAGAGGGAAGCGTGTTCCAGGCAGAGGGGAGAGCATGCAACAGAGGGACCCGCACTCTGGGCCGAGGGGACAACAAGTGCAAGGTCCTCAGAAGCGGGGCGGGGGGGGGGGGGGGGGCAGGGCGGGGCGGGCAGCCTTGCTGTTTGAAGAGCAGAAAGAAGCCCCGCGCAGCGGGCTGGCCCCGGCTCGGCACCCAGGGCGCTCTGCGTCTCGGTCCCTCTGGCACAGACGGGGCTACTCTTTCCTGTCCTCTCAGGCCTGCCTTTCCAAAGCGCCCGCTGTGCCTGTCCACACCTGAGCGCCGCAGGTAGGACTCGGCCGGCCCTCGGGCACAGGACTGGTCCTCTAACAGCCCCCATTCCCACCGGGCCTCAGCGTCCAGCCTCCCTCAGCGCAGGCCTCACCCGCCTCCATTTCCCAGCCTTCCCATTCCTCAGCCCACAGCGTCTCTCCTGGTGCCTTCTCTCTCCCACCAGCCTTCTCTGTCCCCTTGCCCTCCCTCCTCTCCTCTAGAGCCCCGTCCCTGGCCCGTTTGTGGATCCTGGGACACCAATCCAGCCGATTAACCCCGACTGCAGCCTCCATTCCAGCCAAGCACCTCCCAGCTCCCAACCAAAGGGGTTTGGTACACGGGAGACAGAAAATCCTGGTTTGACCCTGGCTCTGCCATTAACAGCTGTGTGACCTTGAGCAAGTCAGGTTACCTGTGTGGCCCTCAATTTACTCTAAAATAAATTAGGGTCACATCCTGCCCATCTCAAGGGTTCAAGAGAAATAAACAAGTCAGCTGTGGAATTACAAACATTCGAGTACTGCTGGGCACTAGGGCTTCTTCTAGGCACTTTTTGCATAGTAACTAACTAGTTTCAACCCTTAGGATAACCCTGCAAATTGTCAATTACTCTGATTTCACACATGAAAAAATTGACCATCAGAGAGGTTAAGCAACTTACCCAAGGTCACACAGGAAGTAGCAAAGTCAGGATTTGAACCCAAACCGTCTGACTCCCAAATCTGTGCCCTCAACTGCTATGTGATAAACATACCCGACAACCCCTTGGGAACTCTAAAGCACTGTCGGAAAGACAATCACCTGCTGGGCGGACATCCCCTCCCACCACTGCCCCCATCCCTCTCAGCCTCCCAGAGAGCCCTTTCCCAGGCCTCCCACGCCCTACGCAGCTTCTCCTGCTTCCCAGCCTCCTTGCTCTTAACTCTGGCAGGAGACCCTCAGCACTCCTTGCATCTGGCAGCTTCTTTCCTCTCCACCCACCCCCTCCCAAATCTCCAGTTTCCCAGAGCTATGACTAACAGCAGAGCCACCAGCAGGCGCCCAGCCCTTCACCCTCCATACCACTTCCCACCCCTCCCGCCTCGCTGCCCCCAGGAGCCCGAGTGACAGAGTCCTCACCTCTGGGCAGGGTCCCCTGACCCACTCAGATGAAGACTCCCATCCCCTGCCTCCTCCTCCATCCCTTTCCCCTCCCTCCTCCTCTCTCTGATTCCACCACAGTTCCACCACCTCACCCCAACCCACTTTCCATTTCTCTGGATTTTGGAGTCACGGATAGTCTTAGCAGCAGGGGCTCTGGGTTCAAATCTCAACTCCTCACTTGCTAGTTGTGCGTGGAGCCGTGGGCGAGTTGTTTAACCATCTCTGGGCTTTAGTTTCCTCAACTATGAAATGAGGGAGTCTCTCAGTCTACCCGCCTTTCCAGGAGGCGGGCGAGGGTCTAAAAAATCATGGACGGCAACCTGCTTTGGGTGAAAACGACTTCTTGAGAGAAGGGCGGTTTAGAGTCCGGATGGAGCCCCTGCCTGGCTGCCTTTTATTAGCTACGTGACTTCGGTTAAGTTACTTAACCTCTCTGGCCTCAGTTTCCTTATCTTTAAAATGGGCTAACACTAGTTCCAGCCTCCTAGAGTTGCTGTGACAATCAACATGAGTTAATACGTATAAACCTTAGAACAGTGTCTGGCACATAAGTGTTGGTTGTTTTTTATTATTGCTGTTTTCCTGATGCCTATTCAGTAAGTTTAATAAAGAAATAAACCTTCACCATTCCCTCCCTTGACCACCAATTCCTGCTTCCTTCCCACTTGCCAGCCCATCTCTCCCCAGAGACAGCAATCACTGGCCTCAAGCCCCTACCTCTTGTCTTAGGAACCTGGTTCCCCACCCCAAATCCAGGGGGCTCTCCAAAGAGTTTTTACCCCGCCCCTCACCGCCCCCCCCCCACCCCCCCTCATGTTGAGACTGTTTCAAAGGCCAAAAAAGCAGAGTCCTGTGTCAACTTGGCAAACAGGAAACCCACATTCCAGGCTGATCCTCCCACTCACTTGCTTGGTGACCTTGGGCTAGTCCCTGCCCATCTCTGAGCCCCGGTTTCCCTGACCCGTCAAACGGAGTAAAGGAGCTGGGGCGGGTGCTTTATTCACCACAAGACCTGGGGCCACAGCAGGTCAGCTCTGCCTCCTGGAGCCCCGGGTCATCTCTCCAAATCCCCAGCCTCCTCCCCACCAGACACCAGGCTCATCCAGGTCCCTCTCCCCAGCCCCTCCAATCGGCAGCCTTCACTGCAGACACCAGCCCCCCAAGCACAACTCGCCGCCGGGCCAGACTCCGGGGCCTGGCCTCTCAGGCCTGCAGACCGGGCCCACGGCCGCCCGCCGGCCCGGCTGTCAGGGGCAGCTCCCCCGCAGAGCACAGTCCCTGTCAGACAGCCCAGTTCCGCCGCCCTGTGCCTGGAACCTCCTCCTTCTCCTCTGCAACCCCACCTCCAGCCTCCGGGGTCACCCCGGCTCAGGCCCGGGCCCTCTGGCCGTCTCCCGAGGCAGCCCCTTCCCTCCTGCGCCTGAGGTGCCCCCTTCTCGTGGAGCAACACGCACGTGCGCACGCACACACTCACGCACACACTCACACACACACTTCACTCCCGGCCAGGTGTGGGCATCTCGGTCCCAACCTGTGTCCTTCCCCAGAGCACCCCCCACGTCTGGTCCTGCTGGACTCAGCCTGGCCCAGTAACAGCCCAGCCTTCCGATCCCGAAATCCGCGGCCGGCGGACAGCACCCTCCGGTTCCCTCCTGACATTCACTCTTCCCATCCCAGGTTAGACCGGGGCCCTCCTGGGAATGGGGGTGTCCAAGGCCCTGGAGCCTCTCCGGCCCCCGGCGTCTCACCGGCCCCCAGCACCTCCCAGCCACTGTCCCCAAAATGCAGGTTCACTGGGGAACATCAGGTGCCGCCAGAAATTGTGGTGCCCCTGCCACCCGCCTCCAGTCTCATCATCTGCCCCCACAACCCAGCACCTGCCCCACTCCACCCCCACGCGCTCCCCAAATATTGGGGTCCCTCCCCCCATTTTCCCCACCCCCAAGCTCACACTCCGCAGCTCCTGAGTCCGATCCTTCATCCTGCGACGGCTCCTCCTCCTCCTCGTCCTCCTGCCTGGGCTGCCGCTCCTACCTTCAGGCTGGGCGCCGGAGGCTGGGGTCTGGGGGCGCCGGGGGCGCAGCAGAGCCGCTGGGGGAGGCGCCGCGGGCGGGGGCGGGGCCGGGGGCGGCGGGCGGCGGGCGGAGCAGGGGCAAGGGCCTGGACCGGCTCGGCTCTGCCGGGGCTGCGGTGGCGATGCGGCTGCGGCACAGGCTTGGATGGAGGGATGCGGGAGCCGAGGCGCGGGGGAGGGGGGTGGAGGGAGGTGAGGAGCCCGGGAGGGAGGGGGGAACCGGGAGGGGGCGGGGAGCAGGGGGCATGCGCAGCACCCGGGTCTGGGGGCGCCTGGGGGTTGTAGTCCGGGGAGGGGGGCCCAGGAAGAGGAGAAGGGAGAGTCCTCGAGGAGGGGCGGGGAGGAGCGGAGCCGGAGGAGCCGGAGAGATGCGGAGCCCGGGAGGTGCAGCGGCGCTGAGATGCCGGGAGGCGGTGGGGGCGGGGGCGGAGCGGCAGCAAGAAGGGGCGAGAGAATGAACACCCTGGCAGAGGGGCTGCGAATCCGACAGCAGGCGGGACGGGCAGATTTTATGTTTTGTGTCTGGGAGGATCACTGTGAGCCTGTGCACGACCCCCTCTGCGTGTGTGTGTGTGTGTGTGTGTGTGTGTGTGTGTGTGTGTGAGTTTGTGCGCGCGTGGCCCTGCAGGAGACTCTCTGGACACTAGAAATAGCAAGACTGACCCTAGGTGGCTTTTGTGATGTGAGGAATCAGCCAAGCCTCGCTGAGAAGGACAAGGGGCATTTTTCTTTTCTTTTTTTTTTTTTTTTGCACAGCCTTTTCCACTCGAAGTGTGAGTCCCTGGGCAGCAGGGAGTCTCAGAGCTCTGCTTGTCTACCTCCAGGGACGGGGTGCTCACTACCTAACCAGACCTCCTGGCCGACCTTTAAGATAGAGCTGCCTTTTAAAAGGGAAATTCATCCACACTGGGAGGGGAATCCCGATGCCCCTGACCATCCAGTGCCTGCATCCCTCTCCTTGGCGCCCACCTCCCCTCTCCTGTCTCCCGGCCTCAGCCTGGCCTCCCCCCTGTGCTCCTTCCTGTGATGGGGCTTTGGCCCAACAGGCCTTGGACCTGTTTTTGCCAAGCACCAGTGAGCTCTCTGATGGGAGATCCATTGACCACCTGTCAGGCCTCATCCTCCAGGATCTTTCAGGGACGTATGACCCTGATGACTTCTCTCTCCTTTCTTTCTTGATTTTTTAAAATATATTTTTATTGATTTCAGAGAGGAAGGGAGAGGGAGAGAGAGAAACATCAATGATGAGAGAGAATCATTGACTGGCTGCCTCCTGCACGCCCCCTACTGGGGACGGAGCCTGCAACCCAGGCATGCGCTCTTGATCAGAATCGAACCCAGGACCCTTCAGTCCACAGGTTGATGCTCTATCCACTGAGCCAAACCAGCCAGGGCTCTTCTTTAAACCCTCTCCTTATTTCCCAGCCTGTCTCCTGCCTCTACCCCCCCCCCCCAACACACACACACACACACACACACACACACACACACACACCTCTGGATGTTGTTTCTCAGCCTCCTTCCAGACCCCTGCATTCTCCCACACCCCTCAACAGCGGGTTCCCCAGGCCCCATCCCGTCTTCTTTCTTTACCCTCTCACCTCCCCGGGCTCGGCCGTGTGTCTACGTGTCCACAATATTGACATCTACGCGCAAGCCAGATCCTGCTCCTCAAAGGCAGCGCCTGTTGCGTGCCTGAGCCCTGGGCTGGGCACCAAGGACGGAGGCAAAAGGTGTGACCATGGTCCCTCGCAACGCCAGTGAGCGAGGCCAAGGCTTCCATGTCGGAACCGCCACACGTGCTGGCCGCGCCTTCCCCAGTGCTTCTTCCCGCATTCCCCAGCAGCGATGGCACCTCTGTGCCTCCTGACACTCAAAGCAAACAGAAAGCTGTTTGGGGCACCTTCCCTCACCCATCTGAGCATCCACCTTGTCCCAGGGGCAATGCTGAGTCGTTCCCATAATCCTCCCTCCTTCACGGCAGCTGCTGCTATCGTCCGGGGTGTACAGATCGGGACACTGAGGCTCAGAATGGTTAAACACGGAACCCAGGTTCACAAGGCTAGGAAAGGCCAGGGCTGGGGCTCTCACGCACTTTCACCAACATGGCAAAAAGTCCACGGTTGGTCAGAAGGCCCAGCCCCTCCTCACTTCAACATTCTCGCCTTGCACTCTCCTTTTTTTTTTTTTGTTAATCCTCACCAGAGGATATTTGTTCCCATTGATCTTTTTTTTTTTTTAATATATTTTATTGATTCTTTACAGAGAGGAAGGGAGAGAGATAGAGAGTTAGAAACATCGATGAGAGAGAAACATCGATCAGCCGCCTCTTGCACATCTCCCACTGGGGATGTGCCCGCAACCCAGGTACATGCCCTTGACCGGAATCGAACCTGGGACCTTTCAGTCCGCAGGCCGACGCTCATCCACTAAGCCAAACCGGTCTCAGCCCCATTGATCTTTAGAAAGAGTGGAAGGGAGGGAGGGGAGAGAGAGAGAGAGAGAGACATCAATGTGAAAGAGGCACATTGATTGGTTGCCTCCTGCACGCACCCCAACCAGGCCCAGAGATTGAACCTGCAACCCTACGTGCCCTTGACTAGGAATTGAACCCGTGACCCTTCTGTGCATAGGCCAACACTCTAACCACTGAGAAACACTGTCCAGGGCACACCTCACACTCTTGGGAGGTGTCAGTAAGAGTTCATCTTCTGGGACTACATTTGTACTAGTTTCCACAGCAGCCCCGGCACCTGACCTCGTGGAGGGACGGTGCAGGGCACTCAGCTGAGTCTCACTTGCATTCTTGGATGACAAAGCCCATTCTGGTGAAGAAACCACAATGTTACAGCTTCGCCTCAGGGGCCAAACCTGGAGCTGCCTCCTGGATCCTCTCCACTGCAACCACCGTGGGTCAGTCTAGGCCAGTGATGGCGAACCTTTGAGCCCGGCGTGTCAGCATTTTGAAAAACCCTAACTTAACTCTGGTGCCGTGTCACATATAGAAATTTTTTGATCTTTGCAACCAGAGTAAAACAAAGACTTATATTTTTGACATTTATTTTATATATTTAAATGCCATTTAACAAAAAAAAATCAACCAAAAAAATGAGTTCGCGTGTCACCTCTGACACGCGTGTCATAGGTTCACCATCACTGGTCTAGGCCCTCATCTGCTCTCCCCTGGGCCCGAGGGAAAGCCTCCCCTCTGGTCTTCCCACCTGCGGACTCTTTCCTTCACATCGTACTTCATCCCCGCTGCTAGCGTGACGTCCCCAAACCCATGTGATAATATCCACCCCCTGCACCCCCACCGCCCCCTGTGACACTCAGTAGCTTCTCTGGCCTTTGAAATCATACCTCCATCACCTCGTCTCTCCCACTACTTCCTTCCCTGTGCCACAAACCCAAGGCTTTAACCACACAAAAGGGTCCCAGATCCCAAATACCTCCAAGTCTGTCATTGTGCCATTTCCTCTGCTTGGTACCTGTTTCATCCCTTCTCTGATGGTCACTTTCAAAGCCCAGTTCAGCCTCTCCCAGCAGTCCAGGCAGACAATGTTACGAGATGGGGGCTGAGGCTGCTTCCCCACTAGACCAGACTGGGCCTGACTCATGCCTGCTTCTCCCCAACAACCAACACAGGGTCAGGCACAAAGTACATGTTCACTAAAAATCTAAGTGGCTGAGTGAGTGGATGCCATATTCCCTCACACCTTTACCCAGGCATACAGACAAGGAAAATAGCTGCATGAAGACAGGCATTTCCATTTGTTTTTTTCATTGCTGGCTTTCCAGTGGCACTAAAGCACTTGGCACATAGTAGATCTATACTAATAAAAGGCTAATATGCTAATTAGACCAGACATCTTCCGGACAACCTTCCAGACATCCTTCCAGACCAAGCCCCAGTGGTGGGGCTGAGGCAGAGGCAGTTAGGGGGATCAGGCCGGCAGGGGAGGGCAGTTGGGGGCGATCAGTCAGGCAGGCAGAGGCAGTTAAGGGTGATCAGGCAGGCGAGCAGTTAGGAGCCAGCGGTCCCAGATTGTGAGAGGGATGTCTGCAGGGATTGGGTCTAAACTGGCAGTTGGACATCACCCAAGGGGTCCCAGATTGGAGAGGGTGCAGGCCAGGCTGAGGGACACCCCGTCCCTGTGCATGAATTTCATGCACCGGGCCTCTAGTGTTCAATAAACATGTATTTGTTAAATGAATGTATGAGTGAAAGGTGTGCAATTCAAATCTAACTACAGTTCTAAAGACGGACACAGACACACGATGCGACAATGGTAATTCTTCTCATTGTTCAGTGATTTTGAACTAATTGCATCCATGACCACTTAAAGTCCACCCCAGAACTCTGTGAGGTGGGATGCCTGGACCACACACCCACCTCCTGTCCAGTCTCCTGCCTGTGTGGCCTTTGTAAAGCATCAGCCCCCCAAGGCTCAGATATTCTAACTTGACTCCCCACTTTTGGGCACAGCGCCATCCTCATGTACCCTGATTCCATCCCTGCATTTCCCAGTCCCATGTGCTTCCTCCGGGTGTTCCGGACCCCGGCGCACCTATCCTCTCATCTTTCCAAACCCAACTCCTCCTCTTCTTTCAGAGTTTAGCTGTTGGGATTTTCTTGACCCTCCTGAAGCTGGGGGGAAAGCTGGCTACACATACAGATTGCCAGGCCTCCACCCTGGACAGTCTGATTCAGGAATCTGGGATGGAGCCCAGAAACCTGGGTTTTCACAACCACCTCTGGCCAGTCCTATTTCCAGTCAAGTCTGGGTTTATCAGGTGGCAAGGCTAAGGCTGGGCTACGCTGTGTAAGAAACACCCCCCAAATCTCAGGGGTGCCTCGCTACAAGGCTCTATTTCTATTTTTGCAGCAGGTTCGGTTACTTCCCAGAGCATCTGCCCTTCAGAGAATCACAGTGCTGTAGAAGGAGAACTTTATACACAGCTTAGCAACATGCTGGCCTCGGAGAGCCTGGGATTCAAGGACCCCATCTCATTCATCTCTGCCTCCCCGT